TGACCTCCAAGTACTTCCATCGACACGCCGAGTGAAATCGAATGAATTTACCGCTGCAACATGGAAATATACACCGCCACTTGTCTGTGTGTGTGTGTATGTGTGTGTGTGTGTGTGTGTGTGTGTGTGTGTGTGTGAGAGAGAGAGAGAGAGAGAGAGAGAGAGAAAGGAGGGGAAAGAGAGAGGGACTAGTGGTTACCCACCTGGCAACCTCACGAGCTCACAAGCGCTCCTCCTGCTGCCCCTTCGGCTCCTCGACGATGAGTGTTGTGTCCTGGCTATGGCTGGACGACAGCGCCCTAGACTGCTGCTGCTGCACAGGAAACGTGGAGGCAAGCACACGACGGCAACGCACGGCGGGCGCGAAGGGCACAAAGCTGGACTACCGGGTTCATCCAGGAAGTGAGGGGCAGCACTTCGAATTCGAAACTTAAAAAACCAACTCTTTTCAGCTGCCCCCCCTTTTTTTCTTCAGAGGCCCCTCGCGGCCTCGAAATATTGTTTGTTTGTTTTTTGGTTTCGTGGCGCGACATCCGAGCAGGGCCTGGAACACCACTCCGCAACTTTTTTTTTTTTTTTGTCGACCCCCTATTTTCGGGGTGCACCGCACCCTGTGCGAGGTGCGCGATGCGGCGCGTGTGCGGGGTGCAGCGCATGTCGATGCGCCGCAAGTATGGTCTACGTTGATCCAGTCATGAAATATCAAACGGAAGAGGAAGGCTAACTCTCTTCTATTAAGATAAAGCCCCCCATACCCTATTCTATATTATATTCATGAGGGGCAAAAAAAAAAGCAGTAAAGTGAAATAGCAACAAAAGGAATATCATACGTCTGCGCGGTGCGGCGCGTGTGCGGGGTGCAGCGCATGTCGATGCGCCGCAAGTATGGTCTACATTGATCCAGTCATGAAATATCAGACGGAAGTCTCTATGTACTTCCTCTCCTTGCCCTTCCTTGATACCTCTCCTTCCCCAACCTTCTCGGATCTGTCCAATCTTCCCTCCTTGAGGGCCCCCAAGCCAAGCGCCACTGAACTGTTTAATGTGTTGTAGGATTTCTTTTTTAGATGATAAGAATTGAATTTTCTCTTTAATCTTGTGCCATTGGATTGTGATTTATGTCTGCACTTGTAGTTTGATTAATTCTGTTAGTTCAGGGCCGTCAATCATAGCTCCTTCCATTTCAAAAGTACAACGACGATTCCAGAGGGCCCAGAGAATGACCCTCCTTCCTGTTTTAAAAAGGTTGTGGAAGAAATCATCTTGCAGAGGCTGAGACCAGGTCTCACATAATAGAGCTCTCCAGTCCCATAGCCATGTCAGCTGATTATTGAGGGCAGTCCAAATCCTATCCCACCAACGCCATAGCAAAACAGCGCCTGGACATTGTAGAAAGATGTGCTCTATGGTCTCCGGAATGCTCGTACTTGGGAACGCTGAGATACATAACTTGCACCAGGGCTGAGCAAGGCCTCTTTCTTTTAGTGATGTTCTGTCCATGAGCCAATCGTTTGTGAGAAGGCAACAATGGTCAATTTGCCATTGTAGCGAGGCAATCTTTGTCGGCCTGGTCTTGATAGTTTTGAACCACTTGATACTCCTAATGTTTTCCTTACTCTCATTCAGGTGCTTCATCCATCTGCTTTCAACCCGATCTCTCAAGTTCAATCTAGGTCTTAACATTCTATAGGTAGATTTGACCGTTAGTGAGTGTAGGGAACGCACACACTTTTTGTTGCTCCTCACTGGGACCGTCCATGTCCAATATATTGGGTCCAGAGTCAGTTTATTGATTGGACATAGGGGTTTGAAGGCAATCCAATGGTCCTTTTATTTCAGAACTCTGATCCTGAATACTTGGTCCGCTTCAACCCATCTGGTAATCATTTGAAAGTTTTTCCTTTATCAGATAATTCTGATTGATTGGGAAAATAGAAATTAAAACTAATCATTCTTCATTTAGCAAAATTACATTCCCTATTTGCCTGGAGTTTCCCTGGATACCCACCCAATCACTTTCCTTGAGTTGAGGGCCTTTCTTGAGAATCCTTAGCCATGCTATCGGGATGGCTTCAGTAATTGTTTCAATTGCCCTTTCTGTTCCTCTGCAATACCTTAGCCTCGGCCCGAGGCTGGAGAGCTGGTGCCAATCCTTCGTATCTGTGTCCCAAATGTCCCCTATCCTCAGAATCTCATTCTTTACCCAACCCTTCCAAGGGGAATCTATGCATTGAAACATCCTACCTTGTGTATGTCCTAAATACGGATGTATGTTCTATTTGTTTCTTTTTCCCCATACGTTCTACTTGACAGAAGACGGTACCCGTAGTAGACTACAACTTTTTCTTTTCTTTTTGGAACAAGGATCCAATCTATCCGTGGGAGCGGCACGTGCTGAGAATATGAAATTTGTACACAAGATTTGATGTACCGGGCCCAATACCCGACATTGGATGAGAGACACATAAGTCGTAGGAATAAAAGCTGGAAAACTTTGAGATGCTCTGACGTCCAGGGTAATCAATATGCTGGCGGGGGAAGGCTTTTCCAAATGTTCTAAATATGTTGAACATTTCATATGGGACGCTGGGCCCAGTTTCCGGCACGTGTTACTCCCGACGAATAGATCGGAGCCCATTATAAAAAATAAAATTAAAAAAAAAAAGATGCTCAGACGATTCTAAATTCCACCAGAAATTCCCGAAG